TTTCTCTCTCTCTCTCTCTCTGTCTTTCTGGCGAGCGCAAGCACCCTATAGCAAAAAAACAAACAAACAAACAAACAAAAACAAAACAAACAAACAAAAAAAAACCTCTCCAAAAAAAATTTTAAAAAGAAGAATTATCTATTTAATTCCATTTATTATTATTATTTTTTAATTTGACCAGAGAGAGAGAAAAAAGGGAAAGTGAAAAAGCAAGCCATCAGGTCTAGGACTTGAACTGCATTGGGCCACGTGAGAATCCAGTGCCTTTAACCACCACGCCACCTGCCGGCCCTTCCTGAGGACTTTTATGCCCCCTTCCACTCATCCCTTCTTCCCTCCCTGTGGACTTTGGGTTCTGAGTAATACCTTCTGAGCCTTCAAGGAGGAGGAGGTCCAAGGAGGGAAAAAGAAAGGTCCCAACGGGGCAAATATATATGGGGAAGCTTCTCGAGACCAATGTCCCCATTCACTCCCTCTCCCCGTGGTTGTTGAAGGTATAGGATGCCATCCTGAAGCAGCTGGTGGCTGTGCCAGAGATCACGGCTGACAGAGGAAAGCGGAAAGACAGGCAGCTGTCTGTCTTGCCAGAAACCAACAGAGCAGTGGATTTTTCAAGTGCAAGTTCCAATGAATCCCCCACTTTGCACCAAGCAAATTAGAATTACATTTTCTGTCATTTGCAACCAAGAGAGTCCTGCGTAGTCCCCTGGCACGGTGCCTGACATCAACGCCTGCAAGATAGTAACTGTCGTCGTCATAATTCAGCTGATGGAGGAGCAAGCCATGCCCGTCAGTGACTGCCAAGCAGAGCGGAAATGAGAGAGTGCAACCCCGCTTGCTCATACCCCTGCCTCCCCTCCTCCTCCCGCCCTTCCTTTGTCCTTTCCACACGTGCATCTCAGCGCCCAGGGCCACCCTCCAACTTCACTGAAAGCTGAGCCCAGCCTTCTTACAGAAACAGTCCCGGGCTCGCCCACGTCAGGCGTATTCCGCGAGGCAGCCTGTGCAGACATTGTATACACACAAGCCCTGCCTGGGTTTTGCAGCTAGGAGCAGGTGCACGTCTTCTATTCATTGTTAACCAATTGGGCAAAAATGACACAAATATTTACACAGCTTCCTTTGTCCTGCACTGTAGACTTAGACAAATGAGGGGCTGCTACCCCCAAACTTAAAGGAACTTTGCCATGGTGGGAGACAAATCAACTAGGACGAGACTTAGGTGACAGAGCACCAGAGTGGGGGGAATCTCTGGGGCAGGGGGTTGGCGTAGTTTAGGCTTCTAAGTTCCAGAGCTGTGCACCTGCCTTACAACGGGATTTAGACATCCGCACAAAACCTTTATTGTGTGCCCACCGCAATATCTACACTATAAACGCTATCTTAAACTGACATTTACCATGGGCTTTGTGCTTTGATTGTAAAAGCGGTACCTTAGTCATTGTAGACATTTGGGAAAATACCAAGTATGCAAAAATTAAAATTAAAATGATTTCTAATCCGGTAGATTTCAAACAGTTAAAAAAGAGCATCAAATTAAGTTATAAGAAAAGATTGGGAGCCGGCAAGGGACATGGTGGTTAAGGACGCTGGACTCCCCACATGACTGACTACAGTTCAAGTCCTGGACCTGGCGGCTTGCTTTCTCACTTTCTCACTCTCTCTCACTCTATCCTTCTTTGGTCAAATAAAAATAAGTGGATAAAATATATCAAAATAATTTAAAAGAAAAGAGAGAGAGAGAGATGATTGTCCCACCCTTACTTCTCCCCCATTCCTGGCAATCCCCCTGAGGGAAAGAAATATTTTGCAAAAGACTAAAAGTCCTTTCTGAGGCTCTTGCAGAAATGCTGCACC